GATTCCGGCAGCCCTTTTGCTGTGACATTGCGACCACACTCGGTCGAGCCGGGCTGTTCCAACGGCATTTCTGTGGGGCATTTGCTCCTGCTGACTGCGGCGGTAACTTTCCGTAATTAATGACTCGTTCCATTAACGGGCGCATCCTGGGCTAAATTGCTTTCAACCCTTTGAGTGCCTCCTATCTTACCCCCTAAAAGTGCCGGGGGAGCGCGACCGCGCTCCTCCTGTCTTTCCCCTCAAAAGTGCCGAGGGGAATGGGGGGCCCTCTCTTTCCCTAAAAGTGCCGGGGAGCGCCATCGCGCTCCCCCTGTAAATAATAAAAAAAAAAATTCTAATTCACTCCCTTCATTTTTAGTGCTTTCTTCCAAGAAAAGGCCAGTATGAATACCATGAAACTTAAGCAAAACAAACTTGCTTTGTCTCCTTCCAGAGAGGAGGGACTGAAGTTCCCATACCTGCAGTGCTGCGAAGATCAACATTTCTTCCTCTGTGCAGTCAATTTCTTCTAAGACAATGGCCCACCTGGCTTGTTCATAGAGCTGGTTTATTCGGACAGCATCATACTAGAGAAAGACAGAGTTATGTGTGTGTGGGTGGTGGTGGTGGTGTAGGGGGCACAGTCATATTCCACAATACAAAATTCTGGAATGACAGGCCGTTCCTTGTTAGACAGATGCACTGAACTTTAGTTCAGGTAACTAAAAGGGACACACTGCCCCAGCTCTTTTTATTTCTGAATTTAGAGCTTTCTCAAAATATTTCCCAGGGTTTCTTCAAGGGGCCCAACTAGCCCATCTTAGATTCCATTACTTCACCTCCCTTCAATCACATTCTTATTGGTATGAAAAGCAGATAGTAAAATTGGTTTATGTGATAACCAATAAAAGGAGGAGGGATTGCTGATCTGCAAACGCAGTGCAATCCTAATCAGAATCTGATAGGAATTTTTATTTTATTTCATTTTGTTGATTTTTAGAGAGAGAGGAAGGGAGAGGGAGAGAGATAAATATCAATGTCAGAGCATAACATTGATTACTGCCTCCTGCATATCCCTCACTGGGAATCAAGCCCAAAACCCGGGCGTGTGCCCTGACCAGAAATTGAACCATGCACAGGATGGGATAATGCCCAACCAACTTAGCCATATTAGCCAGGGCTGATAGGGATTTTTAAATAAAACTTTATACAAGCTAATTTTTAAGTTAAGCTGGAAAAAACAATCCTCTATAATACAGAGAGGTGGACGGCAGAAAGACCTTCTGGAACGACCAGTGGGCGAGGCAGCCAGTGCTGCGAGAGCCGAGCCCCTCTCACGAATTTTGAATATCATGAGGAACATTTTGAAAAAGAACAATATTGGGAAGACACCTGTCCCCCCAGACATTAAAACATATTATAAAGCTGCAGCAACTAAAATGGTGTGGTATTCGTATAGTGAAAGACAAAATGTCAATAACACAGTATCTAGAAACAGACCTATATATGTATATAAGTTTAATATAAAATAAAAATGGCATTTTATAGCAGCAGGGGAAGAAAGAATTCAAGATATAGTGTTAACAATGCCTTGACATTTGGAAAATAAAAATCCAAAATAAAAAAAAACAATCTCTCATCATCAAAAAATATTAATTACAGATAGACAATGAGATATCACTTCACACTCACTAGGCTCTAATACAAAAGACAGATCATAACAAATGTTACTGAGGATGTGGAGAAATTGGAACCCTTATTCATTGCTGGTGGGACTATGGTGCAGCCTCTATGGAAAACAGTTTGGTAGCTCCTCAAAAAGTTAAACATAGAGTATGATCCAGCAATTCCACTTGTAAGTATATAGCGGGAAAAAAAGAAAAAAAAAGGAAAAGAGGGACTCAAACAGATACTTGGACACCAGTGCTCATCATAGCATTATTCACAATAGCCAAAAGGCAGAAACAACCCCAATGCCCATAAATGGATGAATAAATAAACACAATGTAGTATATACACACAATGGGATATCCTTCAGCCTTCAGAAGGAATGAAATTCTCATGCACATTACAACTATAAGATATTATACTAAGTGAAATAAGCCAGACACAAAAGGACAAATATTGTGTGATTCCACTTTTATGAAGTACCTTCAATAGGCAAATTCATAAAGATAGGAAGTAGAACAGAGGTTACAGGGCTGGAGGAAGGGTTAAATGGGGAGTTATTGTTTAATGGGTACAGAGTTTTTGTATAGGATGATAAAAAATGTTCTGGAAATGGACAATGGTGGTAGCTTCATAACATTATAAATGTACTTAATGCCACTGAATTGTGGACCTAAAAATGATTAAAATGGCCCTAGCTGGTTTGGTTCAGTGGATAGAGCATCGGCCTGCGGACTGAAGAGTCCCAAGTTTGATCCTGGTCAAGGGCACATGACTGGGTTGCGGGCTGATCCCCAGTAGGGTGTGCATGAGGCAGCCAATCAATGATTCTCTCTCATTGTTGATGTTTCTCTCTCTCCCGTCCTCTCTAAATATCAATAAAAATATATTTTAAAAAAAGAAAAGATAAGCTATTTACTGGGAGAAAATCTTTAAAAAACAATTAAAAAATGGTTAAAATGGCAATTGTTATGTATGTTTTACCACAATAAAAAGAAATAAAAAAACAAACAAACCAAAAAACAAAACCCAAACCTGCACATGAATGTTCTTAGCAGCATTATTCATAATAACCCCCAAGTAGAATCATTCCAAATGTCCATCAACTGATGAATAGATAAATAACATGTGGCACATACATTCAATGGGATATTATTTGACAATAAAAAGAAACGAAATACCGGTTCATGGTACAATATGAATTGACCTTGAAAATATTATGCTAAACGAAAGAAACTAGTCACAAAGTACCACATATTATATAACCCCATCTATATGAAATGTCCAGGATAGGCAAATCCATAGGGACAGAAGGAAGACTGACTGATGCTTGCCTAGGGCCGGGAGGTTGGGAGGGAAGGGAGAGCGGCTCCTAGTGGATAATGAGTTTCTTGTTAGGATGGTGAAGGTGTTCTGAAATGAGACGGTGGTGATAGTTGCACAACTCAGTGAATATATTAAAAACCATTCATTTGTATCGAGTAAACGGGTGAAATGTATGGTATGTGAATTATATCTCAAACGACTTATAAAAAATCTAAACATAACAACTAAACCTATTAGGAGGAACCATGTAGAGAACACTTTTTGTAATCTTTGAATGAGGAAGGGCTGTTCGTGGAGAAAATGACCGAGGGGAAGGCTGTGCCACAAGAGGCAGTGACACTGCTGTGGGCGAGAAAAGGGTCTGCGCGCAACAGGTGGCCTGAGGCAAGCCCGTGGAACACGTGCCCGGCAGCGAGTACATGGATAGAGCAACGCCAAACACCAAACTGGGCGGGAACAGTACGATGAACCACCCTGTGCACTCAGAGAAGCAGTGACCCAGTTTCTATTTTCTACATTTTGGCCATTTATCTGCTGACTCACAACGGCACGAACGGCAAATCAGGGCCAGGGAGAGGAATCAGTTGCCCAGTGAACTTCAGGTGGGAGACACACACCTCAGATGGGACCTGGCGACTAGCCGGGTCTTTATTTACATAGATGACCCCTCTTTCTCATCGCCACCGTGGGGAGTCTGCTGTGCGCCATCATGGGGTCCTGGTTTATTCATGAGAACCTGCTCTTAACCTAGGTCCTGACAACGCCTCCTTCCCAAACCCTAAGCACTCTGGCTCCCTGAACGCTCTCTTCTTGTTCCTGTGAATGGAGAGGGGAGCATGCACCTGCTGGGCACGAAGACCCCCAGAGACTCCCACACAGTCGCGGCAGCTGACCAAGGTCACTAGAACCCAAAAATGCAAACGAGGGAGCAGAAGGCATTTACTGATCTAACTCTGAAGAGGTAGCAGAAGATTACACACGTTAATCCTAACTTTGAGGACTAAATGACTCAGTTGTACACTTCCATGGATTCATATTTTAAAAAAGAGAGAGAATAGAGAAAGAGTATCTTACTTTGGGATTCAAGTCAAAGAAGGTGTAGTATTTAAATCGTAACAGCAGCTGCTCATCCTCCTGGATGCCCTGTTCCATGAGGGAACGCGAGGAGTCCAGCCAACTAGAAAACAGTGGGATGAGTTACAAAAGTCGATCAGTTTTATACATATATGTTACAGCATTATATAATATGTTTACATGTTATCTATGTTATATAATATGTTCTATGTAATCAATGCACCATGTAATATATGTTATATATATTTACATTATATACACACATCTCCTTGAACAAAATCCGAGTAAGTAATGTGACCAAAAACCAGTAAGGGAGAGGACTTGAAACTAGCTTATATCTATATTTTATCTTACAGCTTTCCCAATGCTAGGTATGTGTGTGTATAGATATTTATATATAATTTATGTATTTATTTATTTTTCTCATTGACAAGAAGAAGCCAGAGCAGTTTTTATTTTCTCAGTTTTATAGATGTTAAAACAGAGTCTCAGTGACTCTGTTTATGCTTAAGGTCCTGTACCTCATGGTGGAGCCAGACTGAGAATCTGCACTTGCTGACTGCCCGCACAGCCTCTCCCCTACACCGGGTGACTGCCCGCACAGCCTCTCCCCTATACCGGGTGAGTACCCGCACAGCCTCTCCCCTATACCGGGTGGCTGCCCGCACAGCCTCTCCCCTACACTAGGTGGTCCGACCCAAAACTGGCTCTATCTTATTGTCTAGAACTTTCTATAATTACAACAACATTCTGTATGGCCCTGTCCAATAGAGTAGCCACTAGCCACATGTGACTTTTGAAGATTTACATGTGGCTAGTGCCACATTTCCATTTAAATTAAATTCAAATTTAGATGTAACTACCCACATGTGGCTAGTGGCTCCTATACTGGATAGTTTAGTCCTAAGGTTGACAGAACACACACACTGGGTAATGGTGAGAGGTGGAGGGATGACGATTAAACAGTAACCACAAGACCAGGTGGGCATGAATGCCAGCCAGAAACACTGAATGAAAATGGCTTGAACTTCTATTAAATTAGCCCCCAAGCTGCAATCTCCATCCCCAAGGCCTTGGTCCAGTGGGAGAGACCAAGCCTCCTAATAAAGGAAGAGAGTGACACTGGGCAAGCAAAGTACGAGAACAGAACTACAGAGAAGTGACGATCTTGAATGCTGACATCTACGAAGGAGAGAGTGACTGGGCCATAAAGGATGAGCAGGGCTGACGGGAGAGCAGGAGGAGGGGAGGAGAGGCCTCGGGTGCACCATGGGGGCGGGGTACACAGTAGGACAGGAAGACAGTGCTGGGCCAGATATACAGGGAGTGGAATGCTGCCCACAAGCTGACTTTATTTGGTGAACAGTGGGGAGTGAAAAGAGCCAGTGGTCTGAGAAATAGTTTGAGTGTGTCTTCTGAGCCCGCTTGAGGCAAAGCTGGACTTGCTCTAGAACGCTTGCAGAGAGAAGTGGCATTCTACAAGACAGTGTGGGCAGGTGGGCCACCTTGGGTCTCCCCCTGACCCATGGGTTCCAACCCACTTATGAACTGCTCGACCTCCCATAAAATACACTTTGCACACCTCAGGGGGAAAGAACTCCTATTTGCATATGGTAAACCATTGGGTTACCCCAACACATAAGGGACGTCACACTTTATATGTATTGAAATGACCAAAGGCCTTGTTTTTTCCTTTTTGTTGCTATAATCAGTCCTGACTTTTGCTAGCAGTGTGCCATCCCCAGGCACCCTAATTTAAAAAATAAACAACCTCTCCCCATCTCTGTGGTATCTCTCTTACTACATCAGTGCCAGTTCACAGAGAAGCAACACGGAGCCACATCCTTACCCTGCGTTAAGCTTGGTTTTATCGACCAGAGACCGAGACTGGTACATATCAGCCAGCGCCTCCGGTGACTGCGGGGGTTGGCTGAATGCGAGGATGTTGCAGTTTTGTTCGGTCAAAGGGCTGTCACTGAACCACGTCATGGTGGATGACACCGGCGTTCCGTTGACGGGGTCATACGTGGGAGTCATGGTTTTACTGTACAAGCCAGGACTTACTGTAAGGCAAAGGGGAACACACACTAGGATATGAGATTCAGGGAGTGGAAATCTCTGGAAAAATAAGTACAGATTGCTGACACTGAAATGGATTTTGAATTTAAATAGTTGTAACATTGAAAATAATCAGAGGAGTCATGGCTGATGCGGGAGGAGTTATACACGGGTAAAGCTCTTGCCTGAATGTTTAGCTACTGAGAACTTGGGAACTGACAGGCTATAAAAGCTTCCACAGTCAACCCATACAAGTGTGGGAGACTACGTCCTTCTCAACAATTCAAAATGCCTCTGCTTTAGCTGTGAGTTTTCACGCTATTAGAGAACCAGAGATCTCACAGAATGTATGTACAGACTATATTTTGGGCAAATTCTTTAAAGAAATAGCAGTACTTGCCAGTTTTAAGAACCCAGCTAATTAATGGTTTATACATCATCTGCCTTTACTTTGCATATGAAAAGTGCAAATAATTCCTTTCATTCTTGGCACTGGAATATACTATGCAAGAAAACCCGCTAACGTTGCAAACAAGCTAGCTTTTTATATTCTTTTATAACAAGAAAAGAATGAAGCCTTTCTAGAATTTTTACCTATTCTCCTGTTACATGTCCAGTGCAAAATTTAAATGGAATTCATACAAGAGTCACAGGAAGATTGAACCAGGAAAACAGGAGTATATTTGAGTGATCCAAATAATCTGTTTCCTTCCTCAAATTCACAGCCAGTTCTATTAAGGTTTCTAATTCATCAGAAACATAATACATGCAATTAACATAATAAGCTATAAAGCATATCTTGTCAAAAAAAATTCTTTTCTAGAATTAATTGGATATCCTTTCCTCATCATAGGACTCTTGCAATTTTAGCCCTTCTTTGTTTGGGGGAGAAAGGAGAAGGGAGGGACAAGAGGAAAGACAGAGCAGAGGGGAGGAGAGTTCCTAGGATTTAAAAATTGAGGTAACTCTTGCTCTGGCCGGGTAGCTCAGTGGTTAGAGTTGGCTTGAGGACCAAAGGGTCTCAGGTTCAATTCCCGGGGCATGAGTGGGAGGCAACCAATCTCCCTCAAATTCACAGCCAGTTCTATTAAGGTTTCTAATTCATCAGAAACATAATACATGCAATTAACATAATAAGCTATAAAGCATATCTTGTCAAAAAAAATTCTTTTCTAGAATTAATTGGATATCCTTTCCTCATCATAAGACTCTTGCAATTTTAGCCCTTCTTTGTTTGGGGGAGAAAGGAGAAGGGAGGGACAAGAGGAAAGACAGAGCAGAGGGGAGGAGAGTTCCTAGGATTTAAAAATTGAGGTAACTCTTGCTCTGGCCGGGTAGCTCAGTGGTTAGAGTTGGCTTGAGGACCAAAGGGTCTCAGGTTCAATTCCCGGGGCATGAGTGGGAGGCAACCAATCAATGTGTCTCTCTCCCATCGATGTTTCTCTCTCACTCTGTTTCTTTCTCTCTTTTCCTCTTTCCCTCCCTCTTTCCTCTGTCCCTTCCACTATGTCTAAAAATCAATGAAAAAAATAATCTCGGGTGAGGATTAAAAAAATAAAAAAACAAACAAGAAACTCTTGGCTTTAAGAATGAATTAAAACAACAAAGCACCTGTCACAATTCTTACCTGGTGGCCCAGAAATTGTTGGAGAACTCTCCAGGTTTAAAATGTCTTCAATTAAGGGCTCCTTATTATTCTTGTCTTTCTTCTTCTTCTTTTTAAAATAGTCGCTAGAAGGCTTTAACAAGGAAAGTTCTTCTGGTCTTCTAATATCTAATAAATAAGTATAAAACAAAGAAGAAAAACTGAAAAGTTAAAAAAATAAAATAAAATAAAAATTCCTGTTGGGCATTTGAAACCATTTCTCAGGAAATTCCGGAGAAGTAATAGAACTAGATTGCACTACTTTTTAAAGAAACAGAGGGGAATAAGACCCACCCCCCCACACACACACACACTAATAAGGGTGTAGGGAGGTCAAATAGTGGAGGGAGATTTAGTCTAGTAAAATTTCTATTTTGTTTTTTTATTTATTGTGAAAATATTTCAAATGTATCTAAAGCAAAGGGAATAGTATAATGGCCCATCCATGGACTCATCACCCAGCCTCAACCAAATTTTGCTATTCTTATGCCACCTACTTACTACCAATTTCCCCTCCCTCTTTCCTCCATTTCTTTCTCCCTTCTGCTCCCCCCGCTCCTTCCTTATCTTTTTTATTCAGTTTTTTAAACAACAGCCAAGGGCCCCACCTTTTTTTTCATGGACCACAGATCCAGAGAGCCCTTTTCTTACATGATGCCCAGCTGCTACTTTCATCCCTGTGGCAGACATCGTTGGCGCCTGCCCGCCTCTTCTTGGCCTCACCCTTTCAGTGCACTCCGACTTGACTACCAATGGCAGCTAGGACATGTGTCTGTCTGCCCATGGGCTTGCTCTGAACACCGGAGTCTACTCTGCCCAGATACAGCGCAACCGGCCACATGAGTTCAGAGAATGAATGCTCTCCAAGAGCAGCCCCGGTGACTGATGAGTGGCGTATACACCCAGCTTCCTCGGCCCTTGGGTGGGATGGCTCTGAGGCATGTCTCTGCTGGGACAATCTCTTATTGGTGGCCTTCTCTGCCCAGTCTCACATCCCCATTCATTATCAGTGTTTCCCGGCATTACCCCCACCCCTCAAGGCCCCACCTTTTTTTTCATGGACCACAGATCCAGAGAGCCCTTTTCTTACATGATGCCCAGCTGCTACTTTCATCCCTGTGGCAGACATCGTTGGCGCCTGCCCGCCTCTTCTTGGCCTCACCCTTTCAGTGCACTCCGACTTGACTACCAATGGCAGCTAGGACATGTGTCTGTCTGCCCACGGGCTTGCTCTGAACACCGGAGTCTACTCTGCCCAGATACAGCGCAACCGGCCACATGAGTTCAGAGAATGAATGCTCTCCAAGAGCAGCCCCGGTGACTGATGAGTGGCGTATTAATACCCAGCTCCCTTGGACCTTGGGTGGGATGGCTCTGAGGCATGTCTCTGCTGGGACAATCTCTTATTGGTGGCCTTCTCTGCCCAGTCTCACGTCCCCATTCGTTATCAGTGTTCCCCGGCACTACCCCCCGACCCCTCAAATAAATAAATATCTGCACTGGAATCCTTATCTCAGGGTCTGCTTCTGGAGAAATGAAGATTATCCCCATTTTCCTCCATTAATGAAATACATTTATCATTGCTGTTAACCGCACTGAGCTGCTATGATCCCAGGGAAAAGCCAGGGAATATGGATGTTCGTCTCTGGGCAGCTCTCCTGGAGGTAAATGAACTGATTCCTCCTACTTCTCAGCTCAAACACTGCTTCATGCTGAGTCTGAGGCTGGTAGTTCAGCTCGATTCTCTCCCCAGTAGCTAAGGATGTCCAATCATCAGGTTGCAGCAGGCACCTGTGACCACTTCAAATGCATAATTTATACACAAAACCTAGAGATGAATCAAGATGTACAGTGGTAAACATCAGAAACAAAACAAAACACACAAAACCCTATCTCGGAGCCTAACATTTGCCTTTCCTTTTCCTTGAGGGAAAACCCATCATGTTGGTGAATTTGATCTACCTTCTATTGATCAGATAGAAAGAGATTAGTAGAAATGCCAGTTGGGCCTTTTAGAACTGCCATGAAGATATATAATCTGGAAAAGAGAAGGACATCTGACTGCTTCTATTTACTTCAAAACCTCAAGTGTTTGGTGCCAGGTATGATGTGTGCTTCTAGTCTACTGCGAAATTTGGTGTAATTCAATCATTTATTAAGTCCCACAAAAAAGAAATGGTTTTCCAATCCTCATGAGGATGTTACTGAAATCAGGGTGCCTGGTGTTTGTCACTTGCTCACCAAGCAGCAGGGACACTTTGGAACTTACATTCCATAATGGGAGGTTCTGTTCAGTTGTCACTCACGTTATTAAACAGCTAATGCGTGCAGGCATTGTGCTGGGCATGCTCAAAAAAAAAAAAAAAAAAAAAAAGGTTTCTCTCTTCACCCTGTTAAATACATACCAGCCTCCAATGCCCAATACTGGCATTCCCAAGCCTATGTATACTATTACACTTTTTCCCTTTGCCCTACTATCTCCTTTTAACATCTTAGTTTTTACATTTATTATTTATTTTCTGTCTCTGTACACTGGAATGTAAGCTTCAGGAGGGAAGAGATTTGGGCTACTTTTTATGACTAACATACCCTTAGTATTCACCACAATGCTTGCCTAATCTTATATTACAAAAGGCCAGAGGCCATAAGCGTCACGACTGGAATGACCACTGGACCAGATGGGGAAGCACAGGGAACTGAGTGGGTGGTGGCGGTGGCCGGAGCAAAGAAAAAAAAAAAAAAAAAAAAAAGGTTTCTCTCTTCACCCTGTTAAATACATACCAGCCTCCAATGCCCAATACTGGCATTCCCAAGCCTATGTATACTATTACACTTTTTCCCTTTGCCCTACTATCTCCTTTTAACATCTTAGTTTTTACATTTATTATTTATTTTCTGTCTCTGTACACTGGAATGTAAGCTTCAGGAGGGAAGAGATTTGGGGCTACTTTTTACTAACATACCCATGACAAAAACTACCAAACGACCGGTCACCATGAGGTGGCATTGACCACCTCAGCCCGGTTCCCAGTGGGTGGCGGCAGCGGCCAGAGTGAAGCAGCACGCATCCCGGGTGCCTGGCAGCAGCCGGAGCAAAGCAGCCCAGGTCCTGGGTGCCAGAGGGAAGCTGGTGCCAGCAGCTGGGGGAAGGAAGGCCTACTCTTGCACGAATCTTCATGCATCGGGCCTCTAGTTAATACATGTTTGTTGAAGGAATGAGTGAGCAGTTTATAGCTTCATGGGGAAGATAGATCTTAGCCTTGGGACCAAAGAATTTACCTACACACTTTCAAAATAATCTCTCTATATAAAACCCTAAGCAACCGGTCGACCGCTTGACCATTTACCGGTTGCTATGATGTGCACTGACCACCACCAGGGGGCAGACACTCAATGAAGGAGCTGCCCCTTGGTTGTCAGTGTGTTCCCACAGCGAGAGCGCCACTCAGCTGACGGGTGCCAGATGCCGGGCTCATAGCTGGTGAGCACAGCTGTGGTGGTGCAAGCCTCTCCTGCCTCTGCGGCAGTGGCAGCAGGTGCAGTGGGGCCGGGATGAGTGGGAGTGGTGTGGTGCCGGCCCGGGCTCGGGCTCCTCCCTGGCCACTTGCCACTTTGCTCACTACTACATCCCTCGGGGGATGTCGGACTGCCAGAACAGGCCAAAACTGGAGGGGTCCCAGATTGTGAGAGGGCACAGGCCAGGCTGAGGGGCACCAACGGTGCACGAATCCGTGCACCGGGTCTCTAGTATAAAATAAGAACACCCTCACAAGGCAGGGTTTGCTCTCACTAAGGAAGTCCCACAAAAAAAAAGAAAGGGCTTGGGTGATACTGTCCTTAATGGCTGTTAAACTTATGGGATGGTATCAATTCGTTTCAATTCATAATTAAGTGTACTTTTCTGCGTAGGATTTTTGTGGATAGGGCTATTGGAGCCAAGTGTAAGAGAAGCAATGAAGACATTACTCCACCATTCTCTCAAAACTAATAAAGATGCATTGGCTCCAAGGTGATAATGACTTAATGGAACTCTTTTTTTTTGTTTGTCTTAAATATAATGATGATTTACTATGGCTAAGAGAAATGAATTTGGGGGATTGTAATGGGCTTGTTTCTTCTGAGTATACATCTCTTTTGAAGCAGTTTTAAGCTTTGTGGAAATGAATCTGAAGTATCTCAGTAATGTCCCGTTTGGATTAACGCCACTTCAATGGCTCCAGTCCGCGGAATTGGGTTTGAAAAGTGTGCTTCCTAAGGAGGGCGTACTCTGGGAGCACACAGCATTTTCCTGCCCTTCTTTGCCAAAGGTCCAAAGGGCACAGGGGCCCCTCCGGGGTACTCACTCAGGGCTTTGCAGATATCACTGACAGCTTTGAACACCACAGCAGAGAAGCTGACTCGCAATCGCACCGTCTTCACGTTCGGCAGGCGGAGGCGAAGCATTTTATGCTGAGGGGTGAAGACAAGCTTTGCATCTGCCTGGACTCCACATTTGTCCAGGGTCCAGTGCGTTTTCAGGAGCCAGCAACGCTTTTGTTCCCACCAAAGGGCAAAGTCTGACCAGTCTTGGGCTATGTCTGCAAAAATAGAAAACACAGTGAAGTACAACGAGAGGGAGGGCACGCCAGTCAATCCCATCGTGCGCAAAAATGCAAACAAAGGGCCGCTCTTCAGCACCCCATCTCCTGGTACAACCCTAGGCTCAACGATTTTTGGCTTCTCTTCAAAGAGTCTAAGGCGGGACAGGTAGAAAACAGACTGAATCTTACCATCACTGATACTTCTATACTGCGGAAGGAACAGACATACACAAGTTCTGTTCATCTTGAAATGCTGAAGTTCTCTTCTTTCAATCTCCCAGCGCCATGGTCCTTCCTGGGAAGACCAGGAGCGGTCTGCTTTGTTTAATCAGGATACTTTCTCCACTAGAAATGTATCCTTGCCCCGCTGGAGCACAAGGCGACATCCATAGCGCCCAATCAGAGCCCGCACAGAAGTTCTATAAAGCTGACACGTCACCCTTCTCGGTAATGCCCAGCTCTTTTATCAGAACCATCATATCCCCAGGATCCAAAGTGTCTACACTGAAATCAGAGCTGCTCTTCAAAGAGTCTAAGGCGGGACAGGTAGAAAACAGCCTGAATCTTACCATCACTGATACTTCAATGCTGCGGAAGGAACAGACATACACAAATTCTGTTCATCTTGAAATGCTAAAGTTCTCTTCCTTCAATCTCCCAGCGCCATGGTCCTTTCTGGGAAGACCAGAAGTACTCTGCTTTCTTTAATCAAGATAATTTCTCCACTAGAAATGTATCCTTGCCCCCCTGGATCACAAGGGGACATCCACAGCGCCCAATCAGAACCCGCACGGAAGTTCTATAAAGCTGACACATCACCCTTCTCGATAATTCCCAGTTTTTTAAAAAATATATTTTATTGATTTTTTACAGAGAAGAAGGGAGAGGGATAGAGAGCCAGAAACATCGATGAGAGAGATCCATCAGCTGCCTCCTGCACGCCCCCCAGTGGGGATGTGCCCGCAACCAAGGTACATGCCCTTGACCGGAATCGAACCTGGGACCCCTGAGTCCGCAGGCCGACGCTCTATCCACTGAGCCAAACCGGTTCAGCAATTCCCAGCTCTTTTATCAGAACCATCATATCCCCAGTATCCAAAGTGTCTACACTGAAATCAGAGCCAAGTATTTTCTGAGAGTGAGCATCAACACGGAAACTGCCCCCTTCTTCAATGTTGGCATCAATGTTGAATCGTTTCCCTTCATCAATGTTGGAGGCAATAGTCAATCTTTTATTTTGCTAAATGAAGAGCCACCAGTGTTGTTATTTACTTTGAAAAAAGTAATCTCTCTCTCTTTCCCTCTCTCTTTTTAATCTAGTGGCTACCTTTGGTGGGGCAGTGACAAGGAGGGGTCAGGTATAGGACGGGGTTGGGGGAACAAGTAATGTTCTATTTCTTGACCTGGATGGTGGTTACATGACTTGGAAAATTCACTGGGCTTTCTTTCACTAGTGTCAATGAAGAGCCCACAACCATGGCCTTAGAAGATAGAAATAAATACAAGGCATACAGAACATTATTAAATTCTAGGTTGATTGTGTTGACTCCTGATGTGAAACTCTGACCCTGAAGATTTCTCTTTCTCTGTTTAAGAAGAGAGAGTAGCAAAGGGTGGGTATGTGTTAAAAGACAAATTAGCACCAAGCTGACTTTATCACTGAGCAATCAAGCACTAACAGGAGTCCAACACCTTCGAAAAAGCCTGCGGTCACCCTAGATGTCACCCGTAGAATGGGCCCATTCTTGTGGAAACAGAGCATTTTACCTACCGGGAAGCTTTGGTTTGTCACCAGGGACTCAAGTTTTTACAAGGGTTGTTAGGGGCCCCTTAGTTCTCTTCTTCTTGGGGGAAGGGTGCTAGCTCTCTGGGCCATTACCAGATAAAGGATCAGAAAAACATAGGTGATCAGACAACTTAGATCAGCGGCGATGCAACAGAGAGGGTTTCAGATATAGAGACACCAGAACAAAACAGAAACTTACTGATCTGCTCTACTAACTTGAGCATCACCCCCCCAACGTGCAGGTCCCCGGACACTCGCAGGGTGACGTCTTTCTGCTCCTCTTCATCTGGATGGTCCACTCGGACCACGAGATCCCAAGAAGCAGATGCAAAGTCACTGGCTGAGAGCATCGTGGCAAATGCGGGTGTCTGCTGCACCGAAGGGCGGACAGAGATCAGAACACGAGGAGGAGACCCTGCAGAGCAAAACGTTTTTACGTTTATTTTTTTTATTTTGGCCTCATCTTGAAAAAAATCCGCGGCATTCTCAGTGCCCCAGATATTAAATCAGCATCTTAATTTTAAAGACAAGAAAGTATTATGCAAAGGGTCTCAAGCCTTCTAAATTTGTCTTTCATTTCTCCCAAGACCACTGGGCTTTTTATTTTCTGTGCCTGCCCAATGCGTCAACCTTCATTTTCCCTCTCTACTGACTTTTCTTGATCTTCTCTGAACTATTCTAGCAGCAGGCAGCAAATCATGGCAATCCTTGATGATACCTTTAAAAAGAATCCACTTTATTAAGTACAGTGGGGCCTTGACTTACGAGTGTCCCGACTAACGAGTTTTTTGAGATACCAGCTGTCTCTCGGCTGATTTTTTGCATTGAGTTGATAGAGTAATTTGAGTTAACGAGCTCCTTAACGAGCTCGGTCTCTGAACGAATTAAACTCGTAAGTCAAGGCCCCACTGTATAATTTGCATACAATAAAACACACAGATTTTAATAGACCAAGGGGGGAGTGTCATTGCATAAAACACACAGATTTTAAATGTACCATTGAATACATTCTGTTGTAGGCAAATTATACCTTAATAAAGCTGATTTTAAAAGAATGTCATTAAAATCTTTCTCTATCTGTAATATAATACATATGTATTATTATGTTCCTCCTATAAATATTAATGATATCTTCCAGTATGAAAATTCAAAAACAAAAAATATAGCAAAATAGTGTCTATTTCAGCTAAGCAGTATCAAAATAGAAACGTCTCAAGGGGGTAATAGGAACACTGGAATCCAGACTTGGCAGAACTTAAAATATTAGCTCTCTGTTAGTTTTAGGTATGTTTTTATTGATTTTAGGAGGGAAGGAGGGAGAGGGAGAGAGATAGAAACATCAATGATGAGAGAGAAACAATGATTAGCTGCCTCCTGCACATCCCTTACTGGGGATAGAGCCAGCAACCCAGGCATGTGCTCTGACCGGGAATCAAACCTATGACCTCTTGGTTCATGGGTTGACTGGCTCAACCACTGAGCCACACTGGCTGGGCTCTCTGTTACTTG